ATTTAGAGAGAATGGATCAAAGTAGAATGACATGGAAAGCATATAAATCTATAGGGGAACGAAGGAGGGGTAGGGGTCGTCCTCGAAAGGGTTGGAAAGAGGGGGTAAAGTAGGTTCTGTGGGCTAGGGGCTTGGACTACCAGCAAGCGTGCATGAGCGTGTTAGATAGGAGTGAATGGAGGCGAATGATACTTGGGACCTGACGATCTGTTGGAGTGTGAGCAGGGTAATATTTAGTGAAGGGATTCAGGGAAACGGGTTATGTTCATATAGTCGGACTTGAGTCCTGGAAATGGGAAGTACAATGCCTGCACTTTAAAGGAGGGGTTTGGGATATTGGCAGTTTGGAGGGATATGTTGTGTATCTTTATACGTATATGCTTCTAAGCTTTTGTATTCTGTGCACCTCTGCAAAAGCATTGATAATGTGTGAGTGTGGTGAAAGTGTTGAATGATGATGAAAGTATTTTCTTTTTGGGGATTTTCTTTCTTTTTTGGGTCACCCTGCCTCTGTGGGAGACGACTGACTTGTTGAAAAAAAAAAAAATATTTATTTTGTTATCTTTTTCACTAGCTTGGCTTCTGTTTGTGCTAACATACATAACATCATTTCTGTACCTCTTCCTTGTTCTCTGTAACAGTAGTAGTATCAGGGAAGTGTGCACCAAGCTTTAGTCAAAATTTATTACTTCTACTACCATGGTGGCAAGATGTTGGCTGAGCCTTCACCTGGTATTTTTCTCTTATCTGTTTTGTAACAGGTCAATGGAAATTGATCAGTTTGAATTTGTCCTGTTTTCACCTGGGACAAATTGTATGCATTTAGCACTGCAACATTCAACAGATTTAAAAAAAATATCATATACCATTGGTAATTCCTGATGCATTCCACAAACCCAATTTGCATATCTGATTTGTCTGCCAAACACAGATTTTTTTAATTCAGTGACTGCAAGTCATTGTTAATAATACTGTTTGTAGTATACTAATAAATGGCAAAAAATTCTGTACATCCAGAGAAAATAGAAGACCAGATGATGACTACATACGAGTGCACATGGATAATTTACTGGGGCAGCATAGCCAGTGATCAAGGGAACAATGAAAACAAGACAGATCCTAGACAGGGCCACTCTGAGCAATACCAGACAAATGCCTGATGCAGTGGACTGGGTCCACTGGATGGGAGCTTACTAGACAAGCTGCCACCAGCACACAAATGTCTGATGTAGCAGACTTAATCTGTTGAATAAGCCTTAGGCCAAATATTTTATGATTTGCATCTTAAATCCAGTATATAGGGGTCTGTTAAATCAAGGGTTTACTTATTATCTGGATTTTATAAAACTGTTGAAATGTAGCACGAACTATTATTGTTACAGTATTTCTAGTTTATTTCTGTGGTATCACAGTATATGTAAAATGATAGCGCACATATGGTTTATTATTGGGTAGTTAGTGTATTATAACACAATGAAACTTTGTATTATTATGCATATATTATGTCTGCTCACATGAATTTTTTTTTAATTACAGGTCCGCCATCGCAAATCCGGCATCATTTGGACCTGTAGTGTGTCGGATTACAGAGTGATTAAGTTAGAATACACTTAATAAAATTAACCAACTCGACTTACACAAGAAAGTTCATTGAACATTGGCAAAAATCGAACATTTCCGCTGCTTAGAGCTCAATTTCAAGGCACTTTTCGTCGTGAAATCAATCAAAATCATATCTATTTCTGCAATATATCTTCCATTCTATAAAAAACACACAAAAATGTACCACAAAGGGGTAGCTAATGGCCTAGAAGTGAACTACCTTATTTATCGTCCATTTTTTCGTTTTTGGTGTACGTTAAGAAGCATCTTTCCATCATACGTTGCCCAAGTTTCAGTAAGATAGCCCAACAAACTGAGAAAAAAAAATATTTACCAAAAATCATATATGGCTGTCGTGTGGGGGTTCGAAACGTGGACTGGGTAATAAACACTTAAGTTCGATGTTCTAGTACATTGGAAGAAATATATGGGAGTGCCAGGCCTGACTTGTCCACTCTCTAACGTTTCTAGTTGAACTGATTTGCTGAGTGCCTCGAGGGGTGAGTGGTCTTCAAATCATACTAGGTCAGCAGTAACGGTCAGTGATATAACAGTCAGTGATTCACGCAGGAGGCGTGACCCACACCAGTCCACTAACACCCAGGTACCCATTTACTGATGGGTGAACATAGACAACAGGTGTAAAGAAACATGCCCAATGTTTCTACCCTGGCTGGGAATTGAATATTTACCAAAAGTCATATATGGCTAGCTCAAGCCAGGTACTAGAAATAAGCCACTTTGACTTTTTTAGGTTATCCTAGGTTCCCTACAAATATGCTGCTATGTGTGATAATTTATATAGAGATAATAGCTTTTTTGTTTCAGTTTTATGTTGCAGTACGAGTGTATATCACAGTTAGCCATGTGCTATACTCCGTTTTCTCTAATATAAGCCACCAAGACAGTGATAGGAGAATGGTATATTTGTATCCCATATCCTCTTCATACCTCCATCAAGTATTTAATATGTGTTTGTTATTTATATTGTTTATTATGTCATATTAGATCAATTGTGGTAGGCAAATAAGCCATAGTGTTGATATTAGGGTAATAATAAAGCATATTCCCTTACATTATGAGACTGAGCTCATGGCAACCGACAATGGCTTCAAACCCATCTTATCTTTAATGGACAATGTACTGTGTAGGTGCTTTACACAACGAGAATCATTTCTTTTATTCGCTGGAACCATAGCTAGGGCTAAAAGTAAGCAGCTTTTAACATTAAATGAAGAAAAAGAAATTGGAATGATTTATGCAGCAAGTAGTGCCACCAAACATTACTATCAGGTTGGTGTGGCTACCCTGGAAATTTGAAATTATGCTAGCCGAAATTAGTGCCGAATAACTGATGGAACCGGATGTCTGAGTGCCGGATTTGTGATGACGGACCTGTAGTATAATTCAGAAATAACCATATAGGTACACATCAGGATAGTACACAACATATTTCTCAATCCAATATTTGTAATGTAAACATTATAATTTTTTAAGGTATTTGAAGACAACTAATTAACCACAAAATAATATGTACATTTTAAGTATAATATAGCTAAAATATTATTGAGAATTGGTTACCAACATTTAGACAGTCTTAAGGACTTGGTTAGAGGTTAAAACTCATTGAGTATCTGTTGGAGAGGAAGAATTACATTATTTATATTTTGTTAATAATATATCAGTTTATGTAAATACAGGTTGACCATCACTAATCTAGGATCATTGGGACCTATAGAGTGCTGGATTAGAGATTTTGCCAGATTACAGAGTGTTTAGGCTAGAATACACTTAACCCAACGGCGATATTTGCGCATCAGCAACTTTGCCTACTTTACGCCCTATTTTTGACCTACTCCAGTCTCCCAAACTCGTAGTTATTTCACTAGTATTCCTTCTAGTCTGTCGACTGAGTACAACAAACCACCCATTTACCTATTTCAACTATCCAGTAAAGCATTTAGAAATTGGTAATTTGGCCAATTTCACACAAATTTCAAGAGATGCCAGTTTCAAAATAGGGTCGAGAATAAGCAGTGCAAACATTCCTGGCACTAAAATAACATTTTCTCTGTTCATTAGTTACGTCTCCAGGTACCTCTCATATTATGCTTGCTTTCCGTTTTTAATTTTTATTCACACAAAAAATAGAAGATTTACTGTTATGCAGACTAATGGATTATTGTAATAATTATATAAATAATGTCAACCTATTCTTTTTTTTTTTAACAAGTCGGCCGTCTCCCACCGAGGCAGGGTGACCCAAAAAAAGAAAGAAAATCCCCAAAAAGAAAATACTTTCATCATCATTCAACACTTTCACCTCACTCACACGTAATCACTGTTTTAGCAGAGGTGCTCAGAACACAACAGCTTAGAAGCATATACCTATAAAGATAAACAACATATCCCTCCAAACTGCTAATATCCCGAACCCCTCCTTTAGAGTGCAGGCATTGTACTTCCCATTTCCAGGACTCAAGTCCGGCTATATAAAAATAACCGGTTTCCCTGAATCCCTTCACTAAATATTACCCTGCTCACACTCCAACAGATCGTCAGGTCCCAAATACCATTCGTCTCCATTCACTCCTATCTAACACGCTCACGCACGCTTCCTGGAAGTCCAAGCCCCTCGCCCACAAAACCTCCTTTGCCCCCTCCCTCCAACCTTTTTGAGGACGACCCCTACCCCGCTTTCCTTCCCCCACAGATTTATACGCTTTCCATGTCATTCTACTTTGATCCATTCTCTGTAAATGATCAAACCACCTCAACAACCCCTCTTCAGCCTTCTGACTAATACTTTTATTAACTCCACACCTCCTAATTTCCACACTTCGAATTTTCTGCATAATATTTACACCACACATTGCCCTTAGACAGGACATCGGTAAAAATCGAACATTTCCACTACTTTGAGCTCAGTTTCAAGGTACTTTCCATCGTGAAACCAATCAAAATCACATCTTCCATTCTGTCAGATGAGACCAAAAAAAATAGGAGAATGCATCCATAAAAACCATACGAAAATACACCTCATAGTCTCTGTTTTACACCAAAAACACGGTCGCAGTTTTTTCTCATTATGCACTGCATGTTGCAGGATTTTTTTATGTAGTGCACACTTACCACACAGACCTATTCTCTCATATGTAAGCCCAAATTTACGGTGTATATGCTTTACACAATGAGAAGCATTTCTTTTATTCGTTGCAACCATGGCTAGGGCTAAAAGTGAGCAGGTTATAGCAATAAATGGAGAGAAAGAAATTAGAATGACTTGTGCAGCAAGTAGCCCCACCAAACAGTAGTGGCAGGTTAGTGTAGCAACCCTGGAAATTTGAGATTATGCTAACCCAAATTAGTGCCAGATTAGTGATGGCTGACCTGTATTAAATTGATTCTTACTCTTAACTTACAGGCTATCAAAGCCCAAGCACAGAAGGAGGTTATTGATCTGGATGCAGACTCTGATTCATCATCAGATGATGAGAACACTCAGACGAGCACTGATGGCAGCTCAGGGGCAGAGTATTCTCTCAACCATTCCAGAAGGGGCAACCGTGATACTTCCTCCAGTGTATGTACAAGAATAGTACTTGGCAAATTGTTATTTCTCTTGATGCTGTGTTCCTACTGTGAATTCTTTCTATTTGAGTTTTTTTTTTTTTTCTTGGCCACTTTCTGATATTTGAGTTTTTCTGAAATCACTGGAGTATATATATATGAAAGGAAGATTTCCACTTGTAGATCTGATATTCATAAAAGTGAAGAAATGAAGACTGAGTGGAATTATTGAAGCTTTGCTTCAGACTCATATGTACATGTTGCAAATATAAGGAATAGGCACTTGGTTAATAAAAGCAGTCAAGTTTTTATGCAGAGTAAGACGGTGAAACATTAGGTGAGCCATAGAATGGATGGAAATAAAAAGTTAGGTGGAGTGTTGAGGCATCTGTAGAGAGAAGAGCTTATTTGTAACAGTGACTGCATAAGCATTCACTGTTACAGTGAGGAAGAGGCCAGAGGCTATAGAGATTTCATGTTTGAGAGCAACGTTTGGTCTGGACGTTTAGTGAAGTTGGAGCAGATGGATAGCCTAAAGAGTTTGTAAATCTGGGATGGAAGGAAGGAGAGAGAGAGAGAGGTTGTTCTAGGGAGGGTGCTAATAACATTGTAAGTGATAGCTGTATTAGATAGGAGTAAGTAAAGACAGGTGGTTTTAGGGCTTTGATGTTCTGTTGGAGTGTGAGCAAAGTAGCCTTTATAAAGGGATTCAAGGAATCTGGTTGGACAGGCTTGAGTTCTAAAGGTTGGAAGTAGAGTGCCTGCACTCTGAAGGAAGGGTGTCTGGTTTTATCAGTTTGGATGGTCATTGAATTATGGTAACTGTGTGCCTCTGACAAAGTAGCTGTTGAATATTTTTTTTTTTTTTTTTTTTTTTTTTTTTTTTTTTTTTTTTTTTTTGTCCTGATTTGGTGGGAAACCGCCTTTGTGGAAGAAAAAAATTTAATGATAGTATATCAGATGACTTGAAGGGTGTATAAACCTGTAGTGGACGGGAGGAGGGGTAGGGGTTGTCCTAGGAGAGGATAGAAAGAGGGGGTAAGAGAGGTTTTTGTGTGCAAGGGGCTTGGACATGCAGCAGGCATGTGTGAGCATGTTAGATAGGAGTGAATGGAGACGAATGGTTTTTGGGACCTGATGAGCTATTGGAGCATGAGCAGGGTAATATTTTTGTGAAGGGATTCAGGGAAACCCATTAGCTGGACTTGAGTACTGAAGGTGAGAAGTACAGTGCCTGCACTTTAAAGGAGGGGTTTGGGATATTGGCAGTTTGGAGGGACTTCTAAACTGTTGTATCTAAGTGCCTCTGCAAAGACAGTGATTATGTATGAGTGAGGTGAAAGTGTTGAATGATGATGAAAGTATTTCTTTTTGGGTAACCCTGCCTCAATGGGAGATGACCAATGTGTTAAAAAAAAAAACACGGGATGCCAGGTATATCTTGCTACTTCTACTTACACTTAGGTCACACTACACTTGCATGTACATGCAAATATATGTATGTGTATATATATATATACATTTTTTTTTTTTTTTCAACAAGTCGGCCGTCTCCCACCGAGGCAGGGTGACCCAAAAAAGAAAGAAAATCCCCAAAAAGAAAATACTTTCATCATCATTCAACACTTTCACCACACTCACACATTATCACTGTTTTTGCAGAGGTGCTCAGAATACAACAGTCTAGAAGCATACACATATAAAGATACACAACATATCCCTCCAAACTGCCAATCCCTTCACTAAATATTACTCTGCTCACACTCCAACAGATCGTCAGGTCCCAAGTACCATTCGTCTCCATTCACTCCTATCTAACACGCTCACGCACGCTTGCTGGAAGTCCAAGCCCCTTGCCCACAAAACCTCCTTTACCCCCTCTCTCCAACCCTTTCGAGGACGACCCCTACCCCACCTTCCTTCCCCTATAGATTTATATGCTTTCCATGTCATTCTACTTTGATCCATTCTCTCTAAATGACCAAACCATCTCAACAACCCCTGTTCTGCCCTCTGACTAATACTTTATTACCTCCACACCTTTTCATAATTTCCACACTCCGAATTTTCTGCATAATATTTACACCACACATTGCCCTTAGACAGGACATCTTCACTGCCTCCAACCGTCTCCTCGCTGCTGCATTTACCTCCCAAGCTTCACATCCGTATAAGAGTGTTGGTACTACTATACTTTCATACATTGTCTTCTTTGCCTCCATAGATAACGTTTTTTGACTCCACATATACCTCAATGCACCACTCACCTTTTTTCCCTCATCAATTCTATGATTATCCTCATCCTTCATAAATCCATCCGTCGACACGTCAACTCCGAAGTATCTGAAAACATTCACTTCTTCCATACTCCTCCCCAATTTGATATCCAATTTTTCTTTAACTAAATCATTTGATACCCTCATCACCTTAAAAGTGAATACAGGAAAGAGTAAGGTTATGAGGATAACAAAAAGATTAGGTGATGAAAGACTGGATATCAGATCAGAGGGAGAGAGTATGGAGGAGGTGAATGTATTCAGATATTTGGGAGTGAACGTGTCAGCGGATGGGTCTATGAAAGATGAGGTGAATCATAGAATTGATGAGGGGAAAAGGGTGAGTGGTGCACTTAGGAGTCTGTGGAGACAAAGAACTTTGTCCTTGGAGGCAAAGAGGGGAATGTATGAGTGTATAGTTTTACCAACGCTCTTATATGGGTGTGAAGCATGGGTGATGAATGTTGCAGCGAGGAGAAGGCTGGAGGCAGTGGAGATGTCATGTCTGAAGGCAATGTGTGGTGTGAATATAATGCAGAGAATTCGTAGTTTGGAAGTTAGGAGGAGGTGCGGGATTACCAAAACTGTTGTCCAGAGGGCTGAGGAAGGGTTGTTGAGGTGGTTCGGACATGTAGAGAGAATGGAGCGAAACAGAGTGACTTCAAGAGTGTATCAGTCTGTAGTGGAAGGAAGGCGGGGTAGGGGTCGGCCTAGGAAAGGTTGGAGGGAGGGGGTAAAGGAGGTTTTGTGTGTGAGGGGCTTGGACTTCCAGCAGGCATGCGTGAGCGTGTTTGATAGGAGTGAATGGAGACAAATGGTTTTTAATACTTGACGTGCTGTTGGAGTGTGAGCAAAGTAACATTTATGAAGGGGTTCAGGGAAACCGGCAGGCCGGACTTGAGTCCTGGAGATGGGAAGTACAGTGCCTGCACTCTGAAGGAGGGGTGTTAATGTTGCAGTTTAAAAACTGTAGTGTAAAGCACCCTTCTGGCAAGACAGTGATGGAGCGAATGATAGTGAAAGTTTTTCTTTTTCGGGCCACCCTGCCTTGGTGGGAATCGGCCAGTGTGATAAAAAAAAAAAAAAAAATCACCTTACTCTTTTCTATGTTTACTTTTAACACTACCTTTACACACACTCCCAAACTCCTCCACTAACCTTTGCAATTTTTATTTAGAATCTCCCATAAGCACAGTATCATCAGCAAAAAGTAACTGTGTCAATTCCCATTTTGAATTTGATTCCCCATAATTTAATCCCACCCCTCTCCCAAACACCCTAGCATTTACTTCTTTTACAACCCCATCTATAAATATATTAAACAATCATGGTGACATTACACTTTTACCGGGAAGTAGTCTCCCTCTCTTCTACACACCCTAACCTGAGCCTCACTATCCTCATAAAAACTCTACAGCATTTAGTAATTTACCACCTATTCCATATACTTGCAACATCTGCCACATTGCTCCCCTATCCACTATCATATGCCTTTTATAAATCCATAAATGCAATAAAAACTTCCCTACCTTTATCTAAATACTGTTCACATATATGCTTCAATGTAAACACTTGATCTACACATCCCCTACCCACTCTGAAACCTCCTTGCTCATCCGCAATCCTACATTCTGTCTTACCTCTAATTCTTTCAATAATAACCCTACCGTACACTTTTCCTGGTATACTCAATAAACTTATTCCTCTATAATTTTTACAATCTCTTTTGTCCCCCTTCCCTTTATATAATGGGACTATACATGCTCTCTGCCAATCCCTAGGTACCTTCCCCTCTCATACATTTATTAAACAAAAGTACCAACCACTCCAACACTATATCCCCCCCTGCTTTTAATATTTCTGTCATGATCCCATCAGTTCCAGGTGCTTTACCCCCTTTCATTCTACGTAATGCCTCACGTACCTCCCCCACACTTACATTCTGCTCTTCTTCACTCCTAAAAGATGGTATACCTCCCTGGCCAGTGCATGAAATTACCACCTCCCTTTCTTCCTCAACATTTAAAAGTTCCTCAAAATATTCTCTCCATCTACCTAATACCTCCCTCTCCCCATCTACTAACTCCCCTACTCTGTTCTTAACTGACAAATCCATGCGTTCCCTAGGCTTTCTTAACTTGTTTAACTCCAAAAATTTTTCTTATTTTCATTAAAATTTCGTGACAGTGCCTCTCCCACTCTATCATCTGCTCTCCTTTTGCACTCTCTCACCACTCTCTTCACCTTTCTTTTACTCTCCATATACTCTGCTCTTCTTATAACACTTCTGCTTTGTAAAAACCTCTCATAAGCTAACTTTTTCTCTTTTATCACACCCTTTACTTCATCATTCCACCAATCACTCCTCTTTCCTTCTGCCCCCTCCCTCCTATAACCACAAACTTCTGCCCCACATTGTAATACTGCATTTTTAAAACTCGTCGAACCCTCTTCACCCCCCCCCCACTACTCATTGCACTAGCACTAGCCCACCTTTCTGCCAATAGTCGCATATATCTCACCCGAACTTCCTCCTCCCTTAGTTTATACACTTTCACTTCCCTCCTACTTATTGTTGCCACTTTCCTCTTGTCCCATCTACCTCTTACTCTAACTGTAGCTACAACTAAATAATGATCCGAGATATCAGTTGCCCCTCTATAAACATTTACATCCTTGAGCCTACCCATTTACCTTTTATCCACCAATACATAATCTAACAAACTACTTTCATTACGTGCTACATCATACCTTATATATTTATTTATCCTCTTTTTCATAAAATATGTATTATTTATTACCAAATCTCTTTCTACACATAGCTCAATTAAAGGCTCCCCATTTACATTTACCCCTGGCACCCCAAATTTACCTACTACTCCCTCCACAACATTTTTACCCACTTTAGCATTGAAATCCCCAACCACAAGTAGTCTCACACTTGGTTCAAAACTCCCCACTCATTCACTCAACATTTCTCAAAATCTCTCTCTCTCTCTCTCTCCTCTACACTTCTCTCTTCTCCAGGTGCATATACACTTACTATAACCCACTTTTCACATCCAGCCTTTATTTTACTCCACATAATCCTGGAATTAATACATTTATAGTCCCTCTTTTCCTGCCATATCTTATACTTCAACATATTGCTACTCCTTCTTTAGCTCTAACTCTATTTGAAATGCCTGACCTAATCCCATTTTCCTCTCCACGAAAATCCACCCCCTTCAGCTTTGTTTCACTAAAGCCAGACATCCAGCTTCTTCTCATTCATAACATCCACAATCATTCTTTCTTATCATTTGCACAACATCCACGCAATTCAGACTTCCACTTTCACAATTTTCTTCTTATCTTTTTTTAACTTTACAGGAAATGGAATTACCAGGACTCATTATTCCCGCATTTTAGTGACTTTTACAACAGCATGGCTTACGGAAGGAAAGATTCTTATTCACTTCCCCATGGATATAAAAGAAATAATAAGACCAAGAACTATAAGATAAAACAAAGAAAACTCAGTGAGTGTGTATAAATAAACATGTACATGATTGTATGTGACCTTTAAGTGTAATAGTAAGTAGCAAGACATACCTGAAATTTGCATGTTTACAGACAGAAAAATGGACACCAGCAATCTACATCATGTAAAACAATTACAGGCTTTTGTTTAATTCACTTGAAGGACGTAGTACCTCCTGGGTGTTGCTGCTACAACTACTATAGTATAATATATAGATAATGTCGTGCTGAATAGGCAGAACTTGCGATCTTGGCTTAAATAGCAACGCTCATCTTGCCATATAGGACAAGTGAAAATTTGTGTATTCAGTAATTTTGCCAAAATCATTCTGAACCTAACAAAAAAAATATACACCTACCATCCGACTTACGACCTGCTCGACTTACAACCACTCAACTTACGACCGTGTTTTTTATGCCAAATTTCTGGGAAATAAACAACTATTTGTATTCTACACAGTGTTTATTCTAAGCCTTAAAGTATAAAATACAGTACTAACAACATAAAACGTAAAGTAAAACATGAAATACCAAAATAAAACAATAAAATAAAGTCATTACAAAAATGTTTTGTTGATATTCAGTTGTAAAGTTCGACTTACGACCATTTCGACTTACGACCGGTTTCTCGGAACCGAACTCGGTCGTAAGTCGGATGGTAGGTGTATTTCACTGTGTTTGTTTAGTATTAAATTATTGTAAACAAATCTAAAATATTTTTAGTTGGGTTAGGCTAAAATAAATTGCACTTGTTATAATAAGGTTAGGTAAGATTTCTAAGTTCCTTTTGGTGTAAAATTATAAATTTTTACATCAACATTAATGAAAAAAAATTATCTTTAAATGTATAAGAGAAAATTTTGGAAAGGACTCAATTTTAAACAAGCTCTTGCTAATTGACCAGTTTTACATATTCGGCAAAAACAACACACACACACACACACACACACACACACACACACACACACACACACACACACACACACACACACACACACACACACACACACACACACACACACACACACACACACACAGATACATACATATACATACATCTGGGTTTTCTTAATAGTTCTGTTTCTTATTTAGTTCCTCTTATCTCCATGACTAAGTTGAACAGAATTCTTTCTTCATAAGCCATGCGTGTCGTAAGAGGCAAATAAAATGCTGGGAGCAAGGGGCTAGTAACCCCTTCTCCTGTGTAAATTTCTAAATTTAAAAAGAAAAACTTTTGTTTTTCTTTTAAGGCTGCCCCGCCTTAGTGGGATACATCCAGTTAGTTGAAAAAAAAATATCGGATTCATCTGGCTAGTTACAGGTCATATTTAGTTTATTTTTGTCATCAACATGTGCATTGATTAGTTTTATAATTAGCTACTATGATACATATGACTGATGCAAATCCTTGTAAATTCTACTAATTTAAATTTTGACCTACAAAAGCCAATGTGCTCTGGATGTACTGTATTACTTGGTAAATATGTAGGCTATGCATTGTTTTAATTTTTGTTTATGATCTCTCTCTTCTTTTTTTTAGTGTGTAGATGAAAGAGAAGAACAGCTGATAGCAGGGAACTTTAGTGACCAGTACACAGTCCTTCAGCAGATTGGGAAAGGAGCATTTGGATGCGTCAAAATGAGTGTTCGCAATAGTGATGGACTACTGGTATGTTATGAGAGCAACAGTTGTGTATATTTACTTAAGGAGAAGGCAGTACAAACATTTATTTTCATGGTTTAAATGATTGTGTTTATCTTGTCTTTTAAATGTCTCATACATGTCATTTATTATTGCACCTCAAACAAATTGAAAAAGAGACATTTTCTTTTTTTTTTTATTTTGAGAGATTCTGTGCTTCATTTTTTCCATTTAGAGGCATCAGAGCAGAGGCACTCACTAATATTTACTTAGGTATGAAATGATGAAAAAACTCATACAGTCCAACCCTTAATGTTACCACAAGGGAGGGAGTATGGAGAAATGAATGTATTTAGATATCTGGACAAGGATGTCTCAGCATATGGAGCATACGAAAAATAAGGCAAATCACAGAATAAATGAGGGGGGAAATGAAGGTAAAGTGTTGAAAAGTTGATGGCTGGAGACATAAAGGTTCATGTATCAGAATATAGAGGTATAACATCTTTTAGGAGTGAAGAAGAGCAGGATGTGAGTGTGGGGGAGGTACGTGAGGCAATACGTAGAGTGAAAGGGGGTAAAGCAGCTGGAACTGAGGGGATCATGACAGAAATGTTAACCCTTTTAGGGTCCGTCCCATAGATCTACGGCTTTACGTTCAGGGTCCAAACCATAGATCTACTCCAAAATTCTAGCGGTGTCAAATTTAGCGCGAAAACGCTGGTAGGCCTAAGTGTGAGAGAACGAGTCTGCGTGGTGTGTGTGCGCCGTAAACAAAAATTCTAGGCGCCCACATAGCATTGTGGGAACGCCGGCTCAGTTACCTTTGTTCACCATGCCTCGTCGCAAGGCAGCTCTCACTCCAAGGAAAATTGGGACTCTCCTCTTCCTATCTGATAGTCCTGACTCTGATGGAAGTGGAAATGAAGACAAATTCTTTGGCTTTGATCAGTTAGTGACCGAAAGGAATGACCAGGATATCGATAATAGTGCAGAAAACCCAGACGTTCCTCAACCTTCTACCTCTGCTGTGGGCACTCCTCAGTCACGGTCAGTTGTACCTCATTACAAGATAAAACTATTATTTTCACGTGGCCAGGATTCTGATTTCAGTAATGATGATGATGAGAGTGACATGGATTGTGATTTTATTGCTTTATTGCTCTTGACTATCATTCGAGTAGTGATAGTGAGGAAACATATTCACCAGTGAAGCGTCGGTATATACGCTGCAGCATGCGCTCGGGTAGTGTTCCCTATGCAGCGCCCAGGGGACGGAGTACATCCCATGGCCCTACACCAGGAATAGACAGTGAAAGTGAGGATGATGTGGCTACACTTGGCATGGATAGATCACAGGCATCAGTAGGTGGTGGTAGTGGTGATGGTAGTGCCATGGCCATGCGTGACTCACCAGCCCAGGCTGGGACCCACGCTGCTGACTCTTCAGTTCAAGGACAAACCGGAGCATCAGCCACCAGCCCACCACAACCACAACTACCAGCACAACCAGCCTATGATGTCCAGTATCCACCCACAAACCATATCTGGGATTGGCAGCAAAATACCAATTTTGTTCCCAAGCCCCACCACTTTGATGACCCTCAAAGTGGAATTCTACCTACTTGTCCCCTTGGAACCACTGCCAATGAACTGGATTTTTTTGAATTATTCTTTGACCAGCCCTTGATGGAAACTATTGTCAGGGAAAGTAACAGGTATTTTGAGTACACCATGTCAAATACGATATCACCACAGTCAAGACTACACCGGTGGAAAGAGACGACTGTTGCAGAAATGTATTTGCTTTTTGCAACAGTAATGCTTATGCCTCATGTCTATAAGCATAATATAAAAGCATACTGGTCCACAGATCGGCTAATTTCTACCCCAGTCTTCAGTGAAATCATCCCAGTGAACAGGTTTATCTTACTGTTAGGTATGTTGCACTTCTCTGACAAAACCAGGTCTGACAGAAGTGACAGGTTATACAAGATTATAAATGTTTTTATGTATCTGAAAGAAAAGTTCAACATGTACTTTTATCCATTCAAGAATCTTGTACTTGACGAATCTTTGATTTTGTTCAAAGGTAGACTGTCATTCAAACAGTATATACCGAGCAAGAGGAAGCACTTTGATATAAAACTGTTTGTACTCTGTGACTGTGACAGTGGCCTGGTATTGGATATTGTTGTATACACGGGAAGTAAAACATTGAAAGATACCAGGATGTTATTGGGTATCTCAGGTGACGTAGTGAGAAGCATGATGGCACCTTATCTTGGTAAGGGGCATACATTATATACCGATAACTGGTACACAAACCCTTTACTCAGTGATTTCTTGCGAGTGAACAAGACAGATGTGTGTGGCACAGTGCGTTCTATTCGTAAATATATGCCCAGGTTCAACGCAGGTGCTCGTGGTGATGAGGTGCAGGTGTTTACTGCCAGTGATATCATGGCATTACGGTGGCATGACAAACCATTCACCGTAACAAAATGCAAGACAGTGGCAAAGTTGATAGAATGACTAATGAACATATTCGAAAACCAGTGACAGTGATTGATTATACACAAAACATGCGCTTGGTTGTCAAATGTGACACACAGATTGGCTTTGTTGATTGTGTTCGTAATAGTTACAAGTGGTACATGAAACTTTTCTTCCATCTCATGGACATTTCAATGCTCAATGCATATAATATGTACCAAGTGAAGACTGGCAACAGACCACTGTATGGTGAATTTTGTTTGTCTGTTGTCAGACATCTTATAATGAAGTACCAGGTAACAACACCTGCTATACAACAACGTCTTCGAACTCCACAGGATATACCCAAGCATTTGAGGAGGGAAGGTAATCATTTCATAATACAGCTTCCTGCAACTAAGAAGAAATTTGCTCAGAAGAGATGCATTGTCTGTGCACAAACAAAACGACGTCAACAAAGACACAAAGACACTCGGTTTATGTGCGAGGAATGTAAGGTACCTCTGTGCATGGTGCCTTGTTTCAAGGAGTTCCACAAGCTCCAGCAGTTTTAAAAACATGTCCAGTGATTGTAAGTAGTATGTAAATATATGATAGAACATTAGTATTATACAAGATTTGTGCATGTTTATTGTAATAAACAAAAGTGGTAAACAGTAATATGATAACTTTGGTGCAGTTATTGTGTTCAGTACAGTGAGTTTATATACAGTGGAGCCTCTACTTGCAAGTTTAATCCATTCCATGGCCTTGCTCGTTTGCAGAGTCAATTTTCCTCATTTAAATTAATTGAAATGCAATTAATCCATTCCATTGGAATTCTCTACTTCAATAATTTCGCTAATATCAACTCTACGGCTTATTTATCTATCTCACTTCATCTAATATGACATAATAAACAATATAAATAACATAGAAACCTGATATACACTCTGAATAAAATATGTCATTCATGTAGTGGTATGGGCAGTGTCGGTGGCGGACAAGAGTTTGTCTGGAAACTGGGCAAAATACTTCATGAATAATTTCGCTAATATCATCTATACGGCTTATTTATCTCTCACAGTTCATCTAATATGACATAACAAACAATATAAATAACATAGAAACATCATATACACTCTAGAATGAATAAAATATGTCATTCATTTAGTGGTATGGGCGGTGGACGAGAGTTTGTCTGGAGACCGGGCAAAATACTTCATGAATAATTTCGCTAATATCATCTATATGGCTTATTTATATATCACAGTCCATCTAATATGACATAACAAACCATATAAATAACACAGAAACATGATATATACTCTAGAATGAATAAAATATGTCATTATGTAACCGCTCCCTCTTTGTTGTGGTAAACACTGCCATCTAGTGACGGCCTTTTGAAGCCGTCTGTTATTATAATTATTAATTGTACATTGTTATTATATATATATTATTATTATACATTTATTATTATTATTGTATTATATTATTATACTATTATTATTATACGTATTATTATACATATTATTATACTTTTTTTTTTTTTTTTTTTTTTTTTTTTTTTTTTCAACAAGTCAGCCGTCTCCCACCGAGGCAGGGTGACCCAAAAAAGAAAGAAAATCCCCAAAAAGAAAATACTTTCATCATCATTCAACACTTTCACCACACTCACACATTATCACTGCTTTTGCAGAGGTGCTCAGAATACAACAGCTTAGAAACATATACGTATAAAGATACACAACATATCCCTCCAAACTGCCAATATCCCAAACCCCTCCTTTAAAGTGCAGGCATTGTACTTCCCATTTCCAGGACTCAAGTCCGACTATATGAACATAACCGGTTTCCCTGAATCCCTTCACTAAATATTACCCCGCTCACATTCCAACAGATCGTCAGGTCCCAAGTATCATTCGCCTCCATTCACTCCTATCTAACACGCTCATGCACGCTTGCTGGAAATCCAATCCCCTAGCCCACAAAACCTCCTTTACCCCCTCTTTCCAACCCTTTCGAGGACGACCCCTACCCCTCCTTCCTTCCCCTATAGATTTATATGCTTCCATGTCATTCTACTTTGATCCATTCTCTCTAAATGACCAAACCACCTCAACAACCCCTCTTCTGCCCTCTGACTAATGCTTATATTAACTCCACACCTTCTCCTAATTTCCACACTCCGAATTTTCTGCATAATATTTACACCACACATTGCCCTTAGACAGGACATCTCCACTGCCTCCAACCGTCTCCTCGCTGCTGCATTTACCACCCAAGCTTCACATCCATATAAGAGTGTTGGTACTACTATACTTTCATACATTTCCTTCTTTGCCTCCATAGATAACGTTTTTTGACTCCACATATACCTCAACGCACCACTCACCTTTTTTCCCTCATCAATTCTATGATTAACCTCATCCTTCATAAATCCATCCGCCGACACGTCAACTCCCAAGTATCTGAAAACATTCACAACTTCCATACTCCTCCTCCCCAATTTGATATCCAATTTTTCTTTATCTAAATTTTTTTAAATA